TCTTCCCTTGATCACGAAATTCTCAAAAATCATCAGGCTCTTCATTATTTTGACTTATTTCTTTTAATTCAAACTCTTTTGATTAAAGAGTCTTATTTCCCTAAACCACTTGCGGGCTTTAAATAAACTAAAAATACGTCTAGGCGTTACTCTTATTGCTTAACTTTTTGTTTATGGGCATTTATTTAATTCTCTTCTGTTGATCCTTTTTATGTTATATTTATCCATATATGTTATCAGACTACCCGATTTGAAAGGTTAATCACTTAGTTTTTGATGTAATTTTTTTTACAATCGATACTCCACTCAGAGATATATATTTTAGTGCATTACTGAGATTATCACCATTCGAGTTGCTATCATCATGTTTTCTATCACCCCTTTGTTATAGGAAAATAGAACTACATAAAATTTAAGAACTTAGAAATATAAATCTAACAAATTATGCTTCAGCGTTGCTTAAGCAAGATAGGTAAACACTCATTACGTAACCGAACAGTCTTACTTGTATCATTTCATTATATTCCACATTTATATTCGTCTCAAGTCACAAAGTGTAACCTTGGATGTACTTTAAATTATCTGCTACTGTGCAAAATCAGCTAAATCCTTTTTAATCTGAGGTAAAATACTCAAATATGGACTCCATAGCAAAGTAACTCGTTTCACACTTCCAGGAAACAGTTGATTTAACATGACAAAAGCTAACGCAGCTTAGATCTTTCGAATGACCTCTTAAGAATAACCTATTCTTTGATCTAACATGATTACTTTATGAGATGTGTTCACCCTATTTATTTTAAGGTGATGAAGGACTAGTAATTATTTTTTTCCACAATGGTATGAGTATAGCCTACATCTCCCTTAATTTCATATAGCCTTACTTTCCAATAGGGTATTCTTATCCAGAATAGACTGTAGTTTCGACTTCACGTAGGCCTTATTAACACTCCAAGCGAGACTCGAACCATGCAAGTGCAGCATGTACTCTAAACGCTTTGATTATCCCGCCTCTGGTGGTAACTATTTTATCTTCTTATTAGCTAGGCCTTCCAATAAACCGTTAGCACATTATTTATTACCTTTGCCTTTATTAGCTCCATCAACGCTATAGTTGCATCTGGCTGGTAAGTACAGTCATGTTCATAAGTAAACTCTAAAGGTTCATTGAGGTGATGATAAATTGTTTTAACCATCTCATTACCAACAAGATATAGTCTTCTCCTCAATGATCTGTTATAGTTTAACATAGAACTTTTTATCTTAAAAAAGGCTAAATTGTATCAACCTAACTTTATATGTTATTTGCTCCATTTCGCCGCAATACTTTTTGCTTAACCATTCTCTGTTTTTTATCTTTTTTTATAGACATATCTGGTCAACTACTTGAATGAAGGCCAAGAACTGATTAAGAAAAATCGGGCTGAGGTACAGCGTTTATCGGAGGAGACTGCACGTAACCGCGAAGTCGTTCGGCGATTGGCCACTCAGTAAGTTTGGCACGGGCATTTCATCAATAACTTTACATTTGTTTCTCCAATATTTCCTCTTGGAATTACTTCTGCGTTCATGATAATCTATGCCTTATTAAAACGCGGAATCATATCAAAGGTGTCTTAACTAAGAGCTGTATTCATCCCATGTCACATAAGGTGATGAAAGGATAAAGAGTGAATTTTTCATCATTTATATGACTATGCCTTACAATATCGTTTAACTTAAGTTTATATTGCTTCCGGAAAGCATTATTATGATAAGATATTATGATGAACTATGATATCTTGAAAACTACTTTAATAATTTTTGGAGAACTAAACTGTCACTCCTCCATCGGCTCTTCATTATCTGATAGTCTCAAAACCTTTCAGTTGAACGCTTTGTGTTCACTTCACACATGCGTGAATACAGTTCTGCCAGAAAGTATTATTATTTTTATATGTTTTCTTCTTTTGGTGCTATTTTTCGGGTGTTTAATCCACCCCCGAAATTCAGCACCTGAGCCTTCAGCTTAATTAAGTGTTAGACTCCAAATTTTGATAGTTATTTGTCCAAAAATAAGCCACATCTTGTATTGGCCCAAATTACTGTAGTTCTTACCATATTCTTCTGTTATGAATCTACCTATCCTCGCTTGACCTTTACCTGCGTCTGTCATCGTTAATGCTTCTCGTTAGTTGATACATATGCTTATCTATACCCTTGGGCCTAACTTATTTTCCTGGTGATTCTTTGGTTCTGGTTAGAATTGTTCTATCTTTGCACAACTATCTACATTTGCGCTGATTTTCTGGCCTTCTTTCTCTTTTATTTGTATTATTTTTCCCTTTTTTCTTATTATTTCTTTTATTTTTCATTAATGATGACTCCTTGTGACTATGTGCGTATACATTAGGCTACTATACACTTTTTTCAGCTTTTATTTATGCTTCTTTAATTATAGGAATCTTATGAATTTAGATACGCAAACTATTTCTAGTCCTCGATGCTTCTATCCCTTCTGCCATCGCTCTTTTTTCAAGCCGTTTTTATAAATGAAGTTTCTTTTTTGCGCATATCCCCTGGGTGTAGCGGCTTCTTCTTTGTCTGATACCCACAATGTGCCTGGGGCTGGTTACCATTCTCTACATATGTCCTGACCAATTACCTAATACATTATTTATTTTTCGCACCTGTGATTGTTGAAGACCGGCTTTTCCTTTGTCCTCGATTTATGTTTATCCGGTATTCCTTTTTCATCCTGCTTGTAATAATAAACAATATGGTTTTGTATAGAGCTGGTTTATCCTCTCTTTCGTAAGTTAGTTATATTTTTCAGAGAGACTTTAATGCACATACGCCATAATAGGTCCTCTTGTTGCTATTATGTTGCTTTGTGTCTAGAAGCAGGCACACTATTCATTCCATTATACAGCACTAGCATTATTGTTTCTTTGCAAATTGGTATAGGATCGAAGCATATATCGGAATTTTACGAATAATCTATTAATTCTGACAAATTATATGTAGAATATCTAGTGTCAAATCAGGAGAATGTAGGACTTGCAAATTGGACGCAGGACATTTTTGCTGTCTTGCCATCTCAGCTCGTATTTGCACATTGCTATGATTAATATCTATATTCTCGGATGAGGCATATAACACACTCATCCACTAGAATTCAGTCTACCTTAACCATTCATTAGCTTTAACACTGGTATCTCAATTTCATTATATCACTTACATTCACCTTGCAAAATTACTTTTTATACATCCAAACATATCTTCCTATCGTTTCGTTACAATTCACCTTCTGTTGTGGAAATACATACTTTTTGGGATTAGTATTCTTAGAAGGTCTTCTTTATGATCCCAAAAGGTTTTCAGTTTTTTAAATTGCGCAATTATTGGGGATGCCTATTTAATTTTTGGAGATTATTTAATGCTCAGTCATCGAGCCCAAATCTTATTTTATTCCTTCATCCTTTTTAGTATTTTCTTCATTTAGCCGGATCCATTAAGTTCTCTGTCGCTCCTTTCCCCCTGGGGCCCATGGACAATTTTCGTCATTGCCCACCCTACACTGGAAGCACGTTCATCGGCTGGTTACAAATTTCCCTATTTAGTGTTCAGCCTGGAATGTAATTGTTGGATGTTCAGTTTATAGCCTTCATTTATGCTTGATAAGGAGGGATGATAAGCTTGCCTCTCCGTCAAATTTACCAATTACGCTTTTAGTTTACTTGGCTCCTTGCAGCAACTATGTTCTTTCTAACTAAGATATGTAGTCATTCTGGGCCACATCTTGTGATGATGAGTTGGCAGATGATGCCCAGTATCAGACCATTGACTTGACACACTTCCAAGCATTTTGCCGGCATCGTAGTCGCCATCT